ATTGGCCTACTTCCCAACTACTACAAAACTTCTGTAGTTTCAGAAAGATTTTTCTAAGTGGTATCAAAGGTAGTGTATTCTTATTTTAATAAATTATTAATAAAGGNATCTAATCATGACAGCAAACAAAAATGCAAAAAATAAGGTTTACAATTTGCTTGTTTTTTAACCTAAATAACAATATTTTTTAGAAAAGATTTAAAAATCATTTACTTTTCCTTTAAGGAGGAAAGGTAGGAAATTGCAATATTTTTACGTCATTGAAAAAAGATTTTTACTGCAAACCTTTTCGTGACAATGAAAATAAAGTTAAAACACAAGGTTGTCGTAAGGTTACATGCTTTCTGGGTATAATTCCAATTCACTGGTATATAAGACATGTTGACTCTTTAGTCACATGTTAATCACAAAAAGTCTACTCAAACAATGACAAATACTGAATGATTGTATAAAATTCTTAATTATTGATGCTTATTGCTTAGAATACTTAATCAGTCATAAGTGTTAAGATTAGGGATTTTGTATTTTTACCGAATTTTTACTTCCCAAATTCTGTATTACGGCCATTCTGTACAAGAAAACCAGCACTTTCAAGTCACAAAACAATAATGAGAAAAAAAAATTGCTTTCCTTCATGTCATATGTAAAGCTGTTTTACTTCTTTTTATTTTAAAATTTTTTTGAATTAAAAATGAAATTTTATTCCACATTTTTATTTTTAGTGATTATAATTTTTTTTGTGTGGACATAAATCTTACTTTGATAAATTTTTTTTTTTTTTGTGGATATAAATCTTACTTTGATAAATCAGTAATTTTTATTACAGTCGATAAAGTTTCTGAGACATAGATCATAGGTAGATATGATGAAAAAAAAAATGTGATTGGTTGATTTAAACAGAAGACAAAATTAATGGAAATGATACTTAGAATTCATAGTTCAGAACAGGATAGGTAAATGCTTTACAAATAAATTCTCGAGAAAATATGTTGAAAATAAAATAAATTGAAGGTGATATTAATCAGAATAAAACTTTTTTATTTTGGAAAATTCAGAGTTCAAGTTGCAAAAAATAAAAATATATATTATCCTAATATATAATTACATTGTATTTAGAATAATAAATTTTAAAAATGGCCAAGGGGTATTGGATGCAAGGATTAAGCCCCACAAGGACACATTGAAATACCGAAAAAGCAAGTGGTATGTACAGATATTGCACAAAAATATGGAAACACATCTATACTAACTCTTTGTAAGCAATTTTCCTTTTAACAGCAAGTTTTTTGGGAGATTTTGCATGGCAAATCTGTTGGCACAATTTGAAAGATCGTGCTTGAAGCTTTCAGAAATGGGGTCTTTTTTGCCCATGAAAAATTTGCATCGACCAAAATGAGAGTTGCAAGTTAAAAGTTTCTTTTCCTTTTCATTATAATTAAAAAAGCATTCTAATATAAATATTGCAATAGCATAGAATGATTTCAGAGTTACTGGTATTAAAATTGGAAAAAAGTTATTAACGTTTTCTCCTCTTTTTGGTCAATCCTCATTTTGCATGGGTAAATATGGCAACATGTATAAAAAGGTATCTCAAATTGCGCCAACAGTTTCGCGATGTAAAATCTTCCAAAACATTTGCTACTAAAAAAAACATTGTTTACACAGCATTACCATAAAAGTGTTTCCAAATTTTTTTGTCTAATCCCTCTAGATGTTAGAATATTCTCCAAGAAAAGTTAAGAAATCTATGTGTTAGCCACTAATTGTTTTGAATTATTGCCAAGGCTCCTTTTCTTAGAAATGTAAAAATCTTCTTTCAAATGTAAAAAAGTTTCTTTTTAATAAAGGCAACACATTTTAGCAATAATTTTGAATTCTATGCAAATATTTGGCAGATGTAGATGGAATCGCTAAAAATAGATTGTTTCTGAACTCAAGACAAGGTTATGAAAAATAAAAATTACTGATTATATTTATGTTTCTTTTTTTACTGAGAAAAAGATGATCTGAAACAATAATTTAGTTTTAAAATGATAAAAAATATGTTATGCATATTTTTACACGGCAGTAGACACCATTACTAAAAAGTTATTAAAGTGTTTTAAAATTGAAAATCTCCCATGCCAAACCACAGGTTTTGTGTAAGATGACGTACTTACATTTCTAGTCTATACCATATACGCAGTGTCTCTGTAAGGACTGTCCTTGATACATATTTTTAGAATCCTTTTTAAAAAAAATATACTTATTAAGGGTCATAAATTAGTATTTAAGCTAGAGAATCATAGGTAATGAAAGCAAAACTGAGAATATCAAATCCAGTTTGATTGTCTGATAATACTAGATAGATAGTGTTTCTAATAATGCCTCTGTTTCCTCAGTTAATCAAATAGGTTTTCATATTTTTCAGTAACTTTTCCTCATTAGCGAAAACATATTTGATTGCCGCAGAAAACAAAGAGGGGTTGAGAAACCAAAATTAGTAATGCATTCTACATTAAGCAATTAAACAGGTTTTGATGTTTTTCATCTAGTTAGTCTTCCTCACTAGAGATTCATCAGATTTGGATAGTCATTTTCTTTTCTTTTTTTTGCTTAAACATGAATTAAGTGTGTATAAGTAAGTATTAATTTGTGATTCCTAATGTGAATTCTTTTTTTATATAATTTATGACAAGGATTCTAAGAATGTGGCAGTGGCTTACTGAATAAATGACCCTATGTAATTATGTCTACCTTAATATTATTTCTCGAAATAACTGTAAAAGGGTTTGCTCTTTACAGGTAAACATTGGCTGCAGAGCCGTGGTGGCTCAGGCATAGAGCGTTCGCCTTCCAATGAGCAGGGTTGCAAAAAACCCAACCCGGGTGGGTTTTTCTGGGTTTTATTGGGCTTTTCTGGGTTCTATTGGGCTTTTCTGGGTTTCTCATGTTTTCATGGAGGGCTTTTTCAAAGGAGAGGACAGGGATAAGTACCTTATTTTAAAAAAGCTTATTTTAATATTAAGAATTAATTTTAATTTTATAAATTGACTTCATATAGATAATTAATACAAATAAATTGATGTGAAAGTCTGGAAAAAGTTTCTTCTGACATCACGATACAAAATGTTATTTGTACTCACATACATTACACATTTGAAACTTATTTTAACACAGGATTACTTTTTATTTATATTTTAGTCTTAAAAAATATTTGAGGAACATTCTTTATTTGCATAGAAAGCGAATAAATGGCACTGAATAATCAATGACCATACAGTCAAATCTAGTCAGCAAGGTGACTCTCCAGTCTCCAACACAATTAGTTTTTTCACTATAGGTTAATTTTTTTTAGGCTAGACTACATAAATATATTATTAGAATAGCTCTTTAATATAACAGAGGATAAAAAAAGAAATCTATCTTAGAAAAACCCAGTAAAACCCACTTTAGGTTGGGTTTTACTGGGTTTTTTAGAGTGGGTTTTACCCAGTAAAACCCGGGCGGGTTTTATTGGGGAGTTGGGTTTTCTGCAACCCTGCCAATGAGGTGAGTCGGGTTTTCTGCAACCCTGCCAATGAGGTGAGTCGGGTTCGAATATCAGCGATGGCTGGTCAATATGAATTCTGCAACCGGCTCTCACTGACAGACATAAAATTTCCTCACTGGTAGACAAAACATGGGTTAGAGTCCCCTTGCTGTCAGGCTAACCGTGAGAGGTTTTCATGGTTCTCTACTCCATGAAATGCAAATGAGGGTTAATTCCATCAAAAAGTCCTCCACGAGGAAAATTTCTCCCCAGTACTTGATTCCGGAGTTTCCTTGCCTTCTAGATGGGTTAAAAATTACAAGGCTACAGAGTTGAACATTAGTAATCGTAAACCCAAAATTGGGTCGGCTGTTCAACAATGGTTATATATACACATATATATAAAAATAACATTGGCTGCATGACCACAGTCATATTTTTATTTACAGCTAACATATTTTGTAATAATGTCAATGTTTTGAGCAGTATAACCAATTTGGTTTTAATACCATTGCACATTTTTTTATAATCAATGCAGCACTTAAAATTTTTTTATTGAAAATATTTTAATGGTGTTGACTGTATGTAAATTAAATTTCTCCCCCCAATAGTTTGGCCCAGCAATTCCATACAATTAGTGCAACAAATACTTATATATTTTTTAATTTATTTAGAACATCAATTTTATCTGAAATTGATAGTCATTTTTGTTTTGATACATAAACATAAATAATTTATGAATGGACAATAAAATGATTAAAATTAAGCCATTGTTCTACATTAGTATTAAATATCATTGGTGCAAGTCTAATGTAATTTTGTGAAAAATGTTACTTTTTAAAAGTAAATATGGCAAGATTTCTTTTAAAGTTTGATTTGTAGCAGAATGCAGCAGAGCTAATACATTTATTGGCATACTTCCCAACTACTACAGAATTTCTCTAGTTTCAGGAAGATTTTTCTAAGTGGTATCAAAGATAGTGTTTTCTTATTTTAATAAATTAATAATAAAAGAATTTTGTCCACCACTACATATAAATAACTTAAGCAGATATATAATATACAGGTAGACAATTGTTCATATTAGTTTTGATAAAAATATCATTTATTTCAATAATTTCTATTTCTTATTGCAACAAGAAAAAATAGTTAGCCTAACCCAGAGATTTGGATGGGTTTGTATTGAGCAAATTTCGACAAAATTGTCCATTTTGGAACAATTACTTTATTTATAGTTTTAAGTAAAAAAAAAAGCCAAAACAACGAACATTAAAATAATTGCCTTTTTCTTGATACTGTCCTGTAGTCTACTAGTTAAAGAACGTTTTTAATTAATTTAAATAATTTTTAAAAACAGATAATTAACTATATTCATAGTCACAAAGATTGAATAGCAACATCTCTTTTTAAAATAATGAATATAAGAATGACTATAAGAAAATCTTTTTATTCCTAATTACATTAAGCCACAATTCAAAAACAAAACTAATTATTTTATCAAAATTTCTGTATCATCTAGTTTAAGCTTTAAAACATTTACTGTCCATGTTGTGTCTGCTTCTTGTTTAAAAGCATCAATTACTAAGAATCCCGCTTTTTTCGGTCCTGCTACTGGAACATTAATATTTGCTACATCTTTTGTGATCCGATTACTTCGATCTAGCAAACTAGGATTACACCAAGTAACTGGTTTGCCTAATAGTTCTACAGATGGATTATGTTTTAATAAATCCTCTATAGAGGATTTGCAAACGGTTGAATTTCCTATACTATCTTCAATTTTCTTTCGAAGGTACATAGATCCAGCTGCGATAGAAAGAGCTGTAAATCCCAATGCAGCAAATTTTTTATGAGTATATTTCAAGATGTTCATCCTGCAGTGTTAGTAAGCTTATTGATGAATTAAATTTACTAAAATTAAGTTTAAAAACATTCCTTTATTTAATTTTCAACGATTTCAGACCAAACAGCAACGAAAATAGCATGCTGAGAGTTGAATTGTTTACAATTTGTTTATTTACATCCGGTTAAGAATTCTCAAAAAGCTTTCAACTACCTGTTTTTACTCCTATGAGGAATATTTTATTGTCCAGAAAACATATTTAAAACAGAAACAAGCAGCCTAAAACTGTTTCCGTTCAAACAATCAAAAAATTGATCAGAGATTTAACTATTGATGAATATGAAATCGAAAATTTACAGCGTAAAGTAAATTTAATTAATGAAGTGAAGAATAAATTAATTATTCTCTCTGAAATGGCGGAAAAAAGTCGAAACTTTCGTTCGACGTATTATGATAAAGTAGGATTCCGTGGTGTTGAAGAAAAGAAGGCTTTGGAAATTTTAATAAATGAAAAACCTATGGATAAGGAGAAGATGTCCAAATTTTGTTTGAGATTTACTTTACCCTCTATGTATCGAGAATATGTGTGGAAAATTTTGCTGGGTAATATTTAAAATTCTTTGTAACAAAATTCTTCATTTATAATTTTTAATTCTAGTTACTGAAAGGGAAAATGAAATTGTTTTATCATTTTTAAAAAAAAAAATTCTTTTGCATTATATAGTATGCAATTAATCGTAATAAATATTCTAAAATAAGTTCCCCTGTAAAAGTTTTTAAATATTTTCAGTCAAATACACTCATATTGCCACCTCTTAGTAAATTGATATGTAAAATTTTTTGTATTTTATTCAATGTACAAGAACCAGCTAGTTTTGCTTGACAATTTCAGTTGTCTCAAAGAGGTATCCATCAATATGGATATATTCAATTAACTAATTTTTTTATGAATATATTAAAATAAATATTTGAACTTTTAATAATATCGCACAATATTTTTGAATTTCCTTACTATAGCATGTTATTTATATTAAAACTTGATATAGCTTGTTTTATGTGTTATATCCAGCTTTAAGTTTTATAAAATGTGCTTTTTTTGATGAAAACTATTCAGATTGTTTTAGATTATTGTATCCTTTTCATTTGATCCCGTGTCTGCCATTAGAAGAAAAAAATACCTTTCAAAAATATATCTGTTGGTTTGTTTATACAGAAAAGGGACAGATATCAAGTACCGAAATCAAAGAATAGCACACAAAGACTGAATAAGAGATACGGGAGAAATATAGTAATGATTTGAAATTGCTTCTTCTATCTTTTGGAGAATTTAACAGAGAAAAATATTGAATATTGATTGTTTTTAGAAACTTTTTATTAATTATTTTTATCTAGCCTTCAAAATTTAAATCAGTTGTTAAACATCAGTTGTAGTTTCAAAAAGTCTGAAAAAAATTGTGGATTAGAATGGGAGTTCTCTAATCACCCACCATATTTGTACAACATTGCACCATCAGATTTCTATATATTCTGACCTTAACATTTTCTGCATAACAAATATGGATGATAGTAATTTTTCTTTAGTAATTTTGCTCCAGAAATGACTGGTCTTTATGAATATGGCATTTAAACATGATTACAAAAGTGTTCTGATGACATGGATAATGCGTAATTAATGATTAAAACCTTTTAACTGATTAAAATAGGTGCCCAGAAAATGGGCTTTCTTACTTTTTTGTGTAAACATATCTTATTTTCGATGGATTCAGATTTCTGACCCCCAAAATATAAGGGGTGACTGTGATCTGGGAAATATGGTTCCCATAGTTTCATCAGGAGGGCAATCCATGCATCCCTTTAAAGTTAATTTTTCCTTTTGGAACTTCGCCATATCTCACGAACTTTTAAAAATTATTGATAAACTTGTGCACACAATTGTAAAATTCGTTTATCCAAAGATAATTCCATGCAGAAATAAATTTTTGTAATTATTTTTTTATTTATTGTTTTTTAATAATAGTGAAAAAAACTTTGAATTGTAAGGTACTCAATAAATTCTTTGCATCATTTTAAAGAATATAATTTTGCAAGGCAAGGTATGAATCTTTTACATCATTTTAAAGAATAAAAATTTAAATGGCAAAATACAAAATTTAAGTGAAATTGATCAAGCAATTCCTGTAGAAAGCGAGTTTTAAAAAAGTCGTATTTTTAAAATTTGATTTCTCAGGACTGAATTTCAACTATTATTAAATAAAACACTGAAAAATAATGAATATTTTTTGAAAGTTAGATCTTGTATGGAATTGTTTTTGAATAAAAGAATTTTATAACTGTGTTTTGAAATTTTAAAATTCAACATAAAGTTAATCGAATTTCGACTATTATTAAATAAAACAGTGAAAAATAATGAATATTATTTTAAAGTTAGATCTTGTATGGAATTGTTTTTGAATAAAAAAATTTTATAACTGTGTTTTGAAATTTTAGAATTCAACTTAGAGTTAATCGAGAAATTGTGGAATGCGCAAAAAGTAAAATTAGCATTAAAGCGTCCAAACTTTGGATCTCTCTCCTGACCAAACCATTGGAACCATATTTTCCAGATTGCATCTACTCCCTATATTTTGAGGGTCAGAAATCTGAATCTGTCCAAAAAAAGAGATGTTTATTCAGAGATTAGAAAAATATTTCATTTCTTTTGCAAAGTAGATAATCTGTTAGTGAAATCACCTGCTTATAAGATATAAAATTTTCAGTCAACCATGTAATCACATTTAACCGTGAGCCGAATCAGTAATCACATTTAACCGTACGTCAGTTGAGAAAGGAAGCCGAATACACCTTAACTTTAATAGAGCCTGTTAATTTTTTTAAATTTTATTTTTTGTTGCTTTCAATGATTAAAATTACTTATTTTAGATGTTTTGCCATGTGTTTCTGAGTGTCATGAATCCATAATAAACCAAAGAGCTTTACATTACGAGGATCTTGAAAATTCATTAAAAGTAATGCGGAAAATTGATGAAACTACACATAAATCTACAGTACACACATTGATGTATTTAATGACTCTTGACGTGTTGGAGTTTGATTTAGAAGCACAAGTAAGTAGAGTTATTATTAGAAAAATTTTATGAAATGCATCATAATTTTTATGTCTTTAATTATTATTTTATTATACAGTTCAGTAATTTAGTTTCAGTAAAACTTAAATGAAGTGAAAATGATGAGAAAATTAAACTGCATCAAATTGCTATAGATTGATATATCATTTAGAAGTATTTTTTTCTAAGAAAATTAACTGTGAAAAGAAACCTGTCAATAATGATAGTCATGACTTTTAACGATTTTCATTTCATTATTATTTATCCTGCACCAAGTTGATTTTGGTTGTCCCATTTCCTTCAAGATTTCAATCATATGCCTATTTTTCTCTCTATATTTTTTTAATCTTTTTAACTCATATGCTCCCTCTTTTGCCAATTTTTCATTCAAATTTCACTTTCTATTTTTTTTTTAAAATCATTTCTAAACTTAGAGTTAAAATTTAAACTGTTTTTAAAATTTCATTTATCCTAAAATATTAAGCATTTTTTTTATTCTAGTGAAATTCTCTAATGTGACATTCAATAAATTGTTATCAATGATTTATTTGCCTTCTTAATTTATTGGGATATTTAAGGAAATATTCTGCAGTATGAATTTGTAACATAATATTTTAAATTTTTTTAAACTTTCATGAGAACCTTTTTAGATTTGTAATACAACTTTCTAGTATTGTTAGTTTAAAAATAATTATACTTAATGCAAAGAATATACATCTAAATAATTGAATTTTATTTCAGTTATCAAGCTCAAGTGTTCAAAGTTTAATTGCTCTTGCATCTTTTTTTCTAAAATTCAGTTCATCTGATGTGATTGCCTACTGGTTGTTTCGTAATTTTACTTTGCATCTAAAGAAACAGCACTCTAATTTTAAAAATCAGGTATGTGTTTATCATATATATATGCATGCATATGCGTAATAAGATAATGAATTTGTGTGGGTGTGCTTGTGTACTGGATAGAGGATATACTGCAAGCTAAATAAGTATAACTGTAAACAAATTATGAAGCCTGATTTTTTAATTATAGTTTTAATTCAGAGACATTTAAAAAATGGAATTTTCTCATTGGCCTAGTGGATGCCATTGTTTTAAAATAAACTATAGACAATTCAGTTTTATCAAATATTTTAAAGAGTGATATTTGCTACCTTATAGCTCTAATAAAAAAAAATTGTTTATTGAGGATTCTTTCTATAATACTCAATTATTTTTTATTCATTATGACAGTGATGTTATGTATTTTTTGTTTTAAAAAATGTTTGAAAAACAAAACTAATGGGGAAATGGAACTTAATTAGTTAAGGATGTACATAAAAAACACCAATATTATTATTGATGCTCATTATAATAAATTCTGGTATTAGTTACTAATTGACGCAAAATAATAAGTTATGTACTAAAAGGCAAAATTAATGGAGAAATTTTACAAATTAGTTTAAGATAGCATAAAAAATAGGCAAATTATTAACATCAAAGATGCTTAATTAATTTTGTTAATAGGTAGTTATTGAAATGAAAAAATATGCTGTATGAACTTAAAAGCAAAATTAATGGAGAAAATGTACTAATCCGTTATTGAGTGCTGTAAAAAGTTGTCATACTATTATTGACACCAATGATGTAATACACTTAATTTTGGTAATAAACACTATACATCATGCAATTGATGCATAGTGCAGTCATGTAATTTATGCAGGTTTAATAGGGACCAAATATACTATTTTGTAGTTGATATATACAGGGGTACCGAACTTTTTTGAGTGATGGGAACATACACCGCAGACTGATCATTGAAGGGCCTCATGCCTAAGTATTTAGTTAAATGTTGACAGCATTATAGATAGTAATAGTTACATAAATATCATTCTTCTAACCACTAAATTCTTTTTATCAGTTAACCTTGTAATATTTTTGCATAAAATTAAATGCTTTTAAATGTTCTAAATTAAAATCTGTAAAACTGATTACTTAGGGAAAAGTACAGAAACAGAAAACCCATTTATCAGAAAGAAAAAACATTGAGATAAATTGAAATAAATAAAAACAATGGGAAAATTCGTGTTTTTTTGTCACATTAAATAAGTCCATTTAAAGATAAATTTAACATTAAAATTTTTTAATGTTTATACAATTAAATTTAAAAAAGAATATTCTAGTTAATAAAATAAATGCAAGTTAAATGCTTTAATTTAAAGTAACTTCGTATGATTAAAATTAAAGCAAACTTTTCTCAGGGCAAAATAAGATTCAACATTTTGTGGGGAATATACTTCCAACTTTTAAAGATTTATTTTAAATGAATTGTAAGAGGAAGGGGTTGAGAGAGAAAAGAAAACATTAATTTCGAAGGAACTATTTTCCTTAATAATAAAAAATTATAAAGATACTTGTTTACAACTCTTTATGACCAATACTTTTTTAACTGTATACTTTTTGACACTATTTACAATTAATACTCATATATATTAACAACTAATTAAAATTTACATTACTTAATGATACTTGTCTTGATTACACTTAAAATTTAATGATACATAAATCATTTTCCAGCACCCAGCATATAATCATAAATGATACAAAATGGTCCATGTAGGTAGAAAATGATTTAAAAAATTTCTTAAAAGTTATCCTGCAATTTGCAAAATTTTCAAATATTGCTATAATTTTATCTACTTGATCACCTGTTAGCTTTCTTGGGCCATTAAATGGAAATTTAATGATTTTGTTTTAAGACTGCTCCACAGTTGGGAAAATGTCCAGTTCATTTTGGAAAACACTTTTTCTATAGAAGCTGTTGTTGTGAGTAGTATTAAACTTTGGGCAAATAACTTAATCAGTTTTGTGAATTTGTCCAAGATGATGCTCTTTTTTTCCCAATTTTTAAATCGTGTCAATACAAACAGCAATGTGTGAATTTTAAATTGCTTAAATACGAATTTTTATGTGTGATTTTTAAATTGCGTGAATAAAAAACGTGATGCGTGAATACGAATCGAGTTATTTGATTTTTAAATTGCGAAAAGACTCACAATGTATGATTTTTAAAACATGTGAATATGAATCGAGATGTGGTTTTAAAATTGCTTGAATACGAATCGTGGTGTATAATTTTTGATTTGCGAGAAGAATAGCAACATATGATTTTTTAAAAGCCAGAATACGAATCTCGATATATGATTTTGAACCTCTTGAATACAAATCGCGATTGATGATTTTTAAATCTCCTTATTGTCAATACAAAGTGCGATTCTTGGAGTCCTAATTATAAAATGACCTTGAATCAGCAGACCGCCTATCATTTAGATCACCGGTTTCCAACCTTTTTAGTAGTGCAGACCATCGATTTTGTAAAAAAAAAAACATTTTGACTACTAATTACATCAGTAAAAAATATAATGATAAGCATTTATTATGTAGGTATGATGAATAAATAGCGAACATATAGCAAAGCCCTACTAGAGCAAGTGAATTGTCCCAAAAAACTGACGTTATACCCCAAAACGTTTCTTTGCTCAGGCTGTAGATCAGCAATTATAGCCCACTTGTGGGCTTTGTCCCATGGGTTGGCAACTGCTGATTTTGATAATTTGAGTGAAAATCTAGCTTTGTTATTGACAGTGTTTTGTGTTTCATTTAGACTGAAAATGTGGAGTCAATTTTAAGAAAAGAAGATGAAGTTTTGCATGAACATTTAAAACTTACCAAGGCCTTCGATGTTTTACCCTTAAATGCATGGTTTGAGAGATGCTTTGCCAAAGTGTTACATGAAAGCTCCTTGGTAAGGTAGCTATTGTTTTTACTTTTATGAAGGTAAAACAAAATTTTCGAATGTATATACTTTAATTGTGAATTTTTCAGTGCAAAGCTCTAAAATTTGATTTTTAATCCCAATTTAAAAAAAAAATATTTTACTTTATATATTTGTTTCTAATTCTTTTTCTGAAGAATGGGACTAAGATTGTATGCAAATCTTTTTTTTATTTTATTGTTCTTCCTTTTTTTTGAATAACACAACATATGTTTTATCTTACTATTTTTTAGCTTTAAAAATACATTTTATTACTATATGCAGCATGGGGCCATCTACAAATGATGCCATTATTACCTGCAGTATTGGGCTAATCTACAAATGATGCTATGTTTGTAGAAAAAAGAAACGGGCTTCTAAAATTATGACAGTTTGTGACAGGGCAAGGGGAAGGAGGAGTTAACAAGAAGTGTGACATCACTCATTTCGGTTAAAATCAAAACGTTTAGATTTAAAGAACTAAATATTTTACCGTATTATCCCACATCAGTCTGCATGCTGGGAAATTCCAAATCAGATAATTCACAGCACAATTTGCAAAAAAAAAAAAAATTAAATTTTTACATTTAGTTTCAATCACAAACCAAACCACAATAGGGACAATAATAGATAAGAAAACTGGTATTTTTCTCATCATCCTAAGGCCATCTTTTTAAAAGTGTGTAGTTTTGTGGTAGATGAAAGCAGCCTTCATATATAGATAATTTTATGCGCAGACTGAAGCAGAAATCGATGCCAACCTGGACGCAAATAGCTTTTTGCAATGATGACAGCTGCTGTGCATGCAACAGAGCTTGCTGAATGCAGAAAGCATACCAAGTGTGAAGGTTGCTAAAAATCAAAGTTGTTAAGCCAAAAAGATTACACATTGGCTTTTAAGCTGGAAACTTTAAATAAACCCGATAAGCTGAATGGCAATATAAGTGCAACAACAAAATACTGAGGTCAAAATACTTGTTTATAGGAAGGTTAATGGTTTAAAAATTAAAATTCATAATGAACAATGTTTAAAAAATTTGCATAGTAATGAATTCACTAGATATTGAAGGAATTAATTTTAAAGCATCAAATGACTGGTTGAAAAGTTTTTAAATAGACATAACTTAATTGATCTGTGACAAGCTATGGTTAAAAGTGTCTATAAAACGCGGAGGAATTGAGCAATGTTTTTTGTGTGATTATTTTGATCAAATATCCAAAAATATAGAAATTAGTTACAAGTGCAATATGGACGAATTACCTTTATGGTTCCACTTATCCACGCAAGAAGCTTTTGACTTGTGCAAGAAACTTTTGAAGGTGTTAAAGTTGCACCCTGTAAAACAACAGGAAATTTGCACTACACTGTGTTTTGAGTGCTATGGCAAATGGTGTAAAACTCAAACCTATGATTATTTTTAAAGGCTTGAAGAACATTCCTAAAGAAAAATGTTCAAAAGAGGTAGTGGTAATTGTAGCTATGAAAGGCTCTATGAACGTTGATCTAATTAGTATTTATAAGCAGAAAAGTGTAAAGCGATATTAAAATCCTCCTTACTCTATTTATCTTATTTGTTAAAAGTAACCTTAATCTAGTAGTTGAATTTACTGAAATTTTAATTTAGCAAAATCTGATGTGCCATATAAAATATTAACATCTTTTCTAATAAATAATTAGTAATGTATTTTTAGGGTCTGTGATAAAGTGATTGGCGGAAGCAGCAAGATTTTACCATATGTTGGAATAGCCATGTTGATTGTTCATAGGAATCAATTAATCTGTATGAGCAATTCTGAGGAGATAGTTGAACTGCTTGTAAAAGTAATTAAATTTTGTTTTCTGACTTGTTCTAAAACTATTTAGTTTGATTGCCCATACTTTAACAACTTCCCATCCTCAAAGATTTCTATGTGATTTTGCCACAAGCCATTATCATTTTTAAATAAACTACGTATAATTAAAAATAATACTGTTCTGTTGGTATGATAAATATGAGTTTATTTATAGTTCTGCCCCTTATATACTTAATTCGTTATTGGTTTTTCTAAATGCGCATTTAAGTGAGCAATATGTGTAATGGCTTGAGTAGATGTTTTAAAAAAATTTTTTTTTGCTGATATTTTAACTCAAAATTATGACTGGAAAGGAATGGGTAAAAAATCATTTTCTGAAGTTAAATTTTTTTTTTCATTACAATGTTTGTAAATTAACTTCATATGAACACCTGTTCATGGGAGCACCTTTCGGACTACCTACCCCAGAAATTTAAAAAGTCGGAGTCTTTTTGTGACCACGACATAAAGTGTTAAAAAAAATAATAATCAATTCACACATTCTATAAATTTATAAAAGTACATTTTTTAGCCCTAAAAATTAGAAAATAATAAATTATTTTATTTTTTCAAAACAGATTGACTGACTGATTTAGCATTTTTTAAAAACACAAAAGTTCTCTGAAACTTTTATCAGTTTGCCTTCTCATTTAAGGAATTCTCCAAAATTTGTTTTGACCAAGAGCTGAATTAAATCTGGATTTTCATTACGTTGCTAAATATTCTCTCGCAGGTTCTCTGTGAGGAATGGTTAATGCAGCCAATTTTAACTTAGTCTACACATTTTAAGCATTACTTTCCTGCTATTGACTTTGCATACTTTTGTATCAATTCTATCAAAAGAAAACGTTACACTGTAAAACATAACACTGAGTTTCTGGAATATGAAGATCGATTTGAAATATCAAGATTCAGTCGAAATGTGTAAGTTAAAAAACATTATACATAACAGAGGGACACATAAATGTTGCAACAAACTTATAGGTAAGTTAGGACATATCAGGATTAAAATCACATGGAAACACATGCCCGGAAATGTCGTCATACGCCGCTAGAGGCACTTTTCTATTATGAACGGTTTCTTTGTTCTTGTTCAGTTTCTTGAGCTTCTGAACAAGTCATTATTGGGAAATGCTCTTAGCCGCGTACAATGGCATTTCCGAGTGTAGGTTCTTATGCAATTTTAATCCTGCTGATTTGCCCTAACTCCTCTAGAAGTTCGTTGCATTATTTAAGCAACTCTCTGTTATATATAATGCTTTTAAACTTCGACATTTCAACAAAAAAAGAAAGAAAAGAAAATAGACTAAAAGTGTCATTTTAAAAAGAACTTGTAGCTTTAGGAGCAAAATTAATTTTAGATTTGAAATCCCCTACACACGAGTTTGGCAAGATCAAGTATTTGTATTAATATAACAAAAAATCTGTTTCATTGTTTAATGATTTTTTTTAATTTTTTATTAGTCTCAAATATGTTGGGGAAATTTGTGAAATTTCTAATCATAGATAGGGATATTTACCTACTGTCTCCTGTATTATATTCTTTTGCACTATTGAATGCTCAAATTGTTAGGAAAATGTGTATCCACATTATGTAATTATGGCATTATAAAATATGTTTTATTTTGTTTGCGAACATTAAAAAAAGATTTTTAACTGAAATATTATTCATTTCTATAGTGCTATGTTTTGATATTTTTTTTCAGAACTCAGAAGACACGTCTGATGTCATAGTTAATAAAGCTTTAGATATGTATTCTAGCTGATGCCTGTAAGTCTATTTAAATAAAATTTTTATCATAATAATTTTTTTTACAAAAGATTATTAATATCTTGAACAATAATCCTAGAATGCTTCACATTTTCGTAGGGCTTCTTTTGTGTTTTTCTACAGGATTTCTGAAAATTACCTCAGTATCCTAGTATCCAGAGTAAAATAGTATGTGCAGCAACAGTTAAGGACCATGGTATTAATATTTGGGCACCAAAAAAAAGTTATATCTTAAAAGCATGAAAAATTTTGAGTTAACAAGCATCAGTATAAATACAAAAATTACTACTATTCTTAGATATTTGTTTGCATTATCATGATGCGTTTTCATATTAATACATCTATAAAGCAAACTTGTGAGTTAGAATAATTTCCAACTCTTTAAAGAATTTCAAACAAGAACTTTTTATTACTAATTACCCTTAAAAATTCCCAGAATTAATTTTAGTTAATTTTAAATCCCCTAACTTTTCCAGATTTTCCCTAAATGTGTATGAATCCTTTAGTTAATTAATAAATATATAAATCATTAATTTTAAATTACTATGTAAACTTGCATGATGATTAATGGCCGAAATGTGCAAAAAAATTAGTTTTTTAAAATATACAATAACTATTTAACTTTAAGTATCCTTAAGCAACATAAAAGTTGCATAATAAGTGGCAATAGAATTTAAATTATCTGTGAGTTATATTAATTATTGCCTTTGATTATTTCAGTTTTTAGTAAAACAGGATTTTATACATAGTTTCAATATTTATTATAAGCAGCAACTTTTTGAGTCTCTGAAGAATAAAATTTTCTAAAGCCTTGCTACTTAAATAAACAAAGCTTTAATCATAATTTTATCCGCATCATGTTTGCAAATTTAAAAATAGAAATTTTTTCAATTACTACTTACTGATTAGTTTGGAATTCTGTTACTGCTTTATATAACCCTTGATTGTTTGATATTGATAAATACAAAACAGAATCCTTTTACCCTATCATTTAAACATTTGAAAGCCAAACTTTGTTTCAAGTGGTTGTTCAAGTACTTTTTTTTTAAAAAAAATATATCTGCAAATTTTTATGCATAATTGTCAGTGTTTAGCGCAGTTGCTATCAAGTTTGTCAATATTGTTTAACTTTTTTTTACATTTAAAAAATTTGTATATTAAAATTAATCTATAGATTATTAGTTTAATAAAAAATATTAAGCTACAGAAAAAAGAAAGATTATAAAATTTATAACCTTACTAATTCCACATTTTTGTAAAGTTATCTGACTTTTTCCATTGAATTAAGCTCTTTTGCTCTGTAAACAACAAATCATTCATTTTTTGTAGGTGAAAAAATATAGAAGCATCAGCATTTGCTCTGCTCTCTATTAATCCTTGTAGAACTTCCACTGATGCTCTGGCTTCATGCTTGGAGCTTCTATACCTTCTTCTCTAGGACTTCAATCAAATTTTTCCAAGATTGATTGTATAAATTCTATATCTAAAATTTTACCACAAATAATAATATCTTCCTCAGTTAATAAAATCTGCATACTCACATTCTGCCTCATTAAGTTCTTCTACTGTTGCAGGCAAAGGCTCACTTTCATTGTTGATTTCCAACTAATCCACACTTTCGGAAAGAATTTTTTTTATCGTCATCTCACTTATATATCATTATTCCATGCACCGGAAATCAGTCTCAGGGCTTTAAGCACATCTATTTTAATTAGTGACGTTGTTCTCAATATCTTTTATTATTTTCTGGACTAGCCTTTTGCGATAAGACTGTTTAAGGCACTTTGAGTTCTTGATCCATCAGCTGTAATTTTGCTGTTGTGTTTAGTGCCAGAAATTGCAACTTTATTGTTTTAAAATTATGTAGATCACTATGATCCATAAAAATCACATATAATCCATAAAAATTATCACTTTTCGTTTTTTAACATGAAATGTTTCATCGAATTTTCTCATAAAATCTTCAATAAAAATTGCTGTCACAAAAGCCTTTTTGTTAGATTTGTACTGCAAACAAAAATTTTTAAAATTTTTGAAACAACAGGAATTTCGATACTTTTTAATCATAAACAAAGGCATGAACCATTGCCTTCGACCAAGACTGTCAGGTACCTTTTGTTTCCTAAGCATTTTTCATCTTTGAACATCATTGTCTTATTAGGAAGATATTGAAAACATCATTTTTATAGTATCCTTGAAGCAAGTTGGGTAAGATTTTATTAATCCTCTGTTCACATACTTCATTAGAGACGTTTTTAGCTTCACTAAAAACATCTGTGGGGGATTATTTTCACAGAGCAATATCTGCTCTTAGGTACTTAGCTAATGGAAAATCCTGGGCTAGCCTTCTTGATGGCCAACAGTGCTCTCATCTTTCCCAGGGCAGAGGGAGTTGCTTGTCTTAGAATAATTACGGGACATGACTACTTGCAGGTCCATCTATTTAAAATTAACCTGGTCAATTCACCTCTTTGTGTGCTCTGTAATACTTCGCCTGTGACTGAGGAGCATCTATTTGATTGCCCCTCTCCTCTTGACATTTGTTCCTGTGACGACTTTCGTGCCCTCATTTTCTGGAGTTACTTCACTATTGTATTGGACTGCAAGACGCCTTATGTCTAAGAAGACGATAGCGGGCATAATTTAAAAAAAAAAAAGTTTCACTAAAGGGAATCTGAAAAACAATGTTATGTCTAATTTGAAACTTTTTGAGCCACCCAAAGCTTGCGTTAAAATTCTCACTCTTTAACCAAGCTGTAAAATCATTCGCTTTATCACCTAGCTAAGCACCGCTAATAGTAGCTGCATTATTCTAATTCCCATGCTGTTTGATTCACAATTTTTCATTGATTTTGAATAAGGGTTCGTACATTCATGGGAATTTAGGATGATTTTTCATATCTTTTAAAATCATTAAAAGATTATCAGGGCTGGAATTCCATATTTTTCTGCTCAGTTATTTTTTTATTTTATGTTCGCATTTCTTTCCACATCATTGATAAGATTCACTTTATCTTCTAAACTCAGGATTTTTAATTTTCGCTTGGATATGTTTGACTCCTGATGAACAACTCAATTGAAGAGTAGCTTTTCAAATGAGTTTCCTTAATTATGGTAAGCAAGAAACTGGTTTCGACCAGTTCAAATGACTCATGCTACTAACATATCTTCAGTAATGTTTAGAAAAATAAATTCATTTGATCAATTGACCAAGGCACTGTCCCTATACTGTGCGTGCTCACAATAGAACACAAGTTATTCCCTTCTCATTCACAAACTAAGCAAATGCTGTTCAAGACATGCAGAGTCAAAAGTGTGGGAATTTAAAAAAAAGTTGGAACATTTCACTTCATTGGTGGTCGGAAAAGAAATTGGCTTTCTTTTAGCTTAAAGGAACAAGACATATTGCTTGAAAAAGAAATTGAGTTATAGGAAGTTAACATCCAGTAATTGAAAAAACACTGGGACTGAAAAAAATCAGAGTTAAAGGAATATTCGAGTTATTGTACTTCAAGTTATCATGAATTGACTGTACATACTTTTTAATGACGGTAGTTAACAACTTTTCTGCAGTACAGTTGAAAGATTTTAAATATTTTCTTCTTCAAATACACCTCTAAAATTTAAGTATTGATGAATATTTCAGAAATTCTAAAAAAAAAAAAATGTTTGTTTTTAAAATTTTATAAAACTATAGGCACATTGGCTGAACAAAAATAAATTTAGATTCTAATATTGATATTCTTAATAATTTCAGATTATATTTTTAATGGACTATTATGTGAAACAAAGAATGGAGCTGAATAAACAGGTACTTTTCTCAAAAAAGAATTTGATATTTATTTGAAGATATAACAAGAATCCTCTGAAGATTACTTTTGTACAGTTGTCATTTCTAATCATATTTGTGTTACATGTGTTTGCTGCATTTATGCGCCAAAAGTTTAAATGATTTTTAATAAATTTATGAAATTATTGTAATGTTAAAAATTTTACATTTTTTTTTATTTTTTAAATTTGTTAATGATTCTTCAGTTTGTAATAATTCCTATTAATATGCTGAAGTTAAAAAATCGCAAATAATCAAAATATACATTAATTTCAAGTACTATTATTTCATAATCTACATTGTGTAAAAACAAGTTGTGCTTGTGTTTTCATAATGTGTAACCAAACTAAATCGTGAATCTGAAACGAAACTTTTTTTTTATAGTTATTCAAATTAACAGTCATTCCTATTTCCTACCTCTACGTTGATCTAGTGTATTATAATTGCTTAACTTATAAAGTAGTTTATTGGTATGGTATAAATTTTAAAATTTATATATACACTACTGGCCATTAAAATTGCTACACCAGGAAGGAATGCAAATAACAGAATGATATTTATTGGGCTCATACATTATAGTTGGAAGAACAAGTGATTAAATTTTTGGGATATTTGGGTGTATCTATCCTGAGGAATCAGTACTCGGAGCAGCCTCCCCTGACAGCAATAACTGCTGTTATTTTCCTGGACATCTAGTCGAATAGAGATTCGATAGCATGGACGGGAACAGCTTCATTATGCCACAATTAATTGACTGTAGTGTCTGATGATGAGTGTTGGTGGGCCAGTCATTCGGCAACCATTGACCAGATGTTCTCAATTGGTGAGAGATCAGGAAAATGTGCTGGCCAGGGCAACACATTCTCCTGACCTCAGGGCAAAGACCTCGATCAAACTCAGATACATGCTGGTAGGCATTTCTCCTTCTTACACGAGGTATAACAAAAACTTTTTTACCTAAGAACAACCCTTAAATTCAATTTCTGTATGAGAAACTTACTGTCAAATCTCTCTTTTTTTATAGACATTGTAGGTGTCGCTACCGCCGGCTGCTTTGCAACATGTTTTATTCGTCCTGCAAATTTCACGTTTGTGGTGTGTCGCCTTCCTGGTGTAGCAATTTTAATGGCCAGTAGTGTAGTTGTATAAGTGTCTTAACCTTTCACTTTACCCTTTTGAATGTCTGCATTGGTGTTTATCTCAGTAAGGTCGGTCACTATTCTATGCTAGTTTCAAGGCCGAAGGAGTGCTGTTTTCCCGCATGTAGCTTCATTTGCTTGGTGCCTCCTTCCATCTGAGCAAGAGGGATAATTATTGTTTTTAAACAAAAGTATCTAAATAATAAATTCTGTTCCTGTTATAGAACCTTTAGAGTGTGGCATCATAAATGTATATGCAGTTTTACAGATATGCAAAGTGACAAAAAAAGTTTTTCCCCCCAAAAAAAATTTTTAACTGATTATTTTTTGTAAGTGGGGAGAAAATCCAAAAATATGTTGGGAAAAAACAAAGATGTTTAGAAATTTGACAAAAAAAAAGCAGCAATTTATCAATTTTAAAAATGCAATGAGATCCCCCCACACATGCATAAATTATATTGCAATTATTTATAAATCTATTACTCCTATATCATTCTCATATGTTAATCATATAGTGTTTTCCTTGCAGAAAAGCTCAATGGCCTTTTTTTTCTCCGCTGTAAATTCATACTACTTTGACTGTTTGAATAGCCTCAAATAAGTCTACATTCAGTCTATTGATCCTGTTGTTTTAATGGAGTTCACAATATCAGAGATAGAAAGTGTAAAATTTTAACTTGAAGCAATTTTTGCAGCAGAAAATTTAAGATTTGTTTTAAAAAACGACATATTATAGCAACATGTATTTGAAGTTTTAGTAGTCGAGTCGCGAGTTTAAGCAATTAAAACTCACGTGCATATCATTTCTAAAGCAGCTATTACAAGGTTCATTCTAAACCTTAAAAAAAGTAGGGTGCTTGAAACTGAAAAAGGCACCCATTATAAAAATGTGCATTGTATTTTATAAATATTTTCATAGAGTTTAAGAAACCCAAAATAACAAAGTTCTTAATTTTATCATTAAATTTTTTTTATTTTTAAAGAGAGATTGTTTAAATTAAAATACAGTCGAATCCCGTTTTTGCGAAATAGCGAAAATTTCAAAGTAACGAATATTTTCCGAATCCCCAAATGTATTTCCATGTGAACAATGTATAAAAAATACCGATATTACGAAATCAATTATCCGATTTAGCGAAGGCGAAAATGAACACCAGGTCTTATTTTCGTTGATGAACAAGACACATTTCTTCAAAAATGTTCTCAGAAATGAAATGTTTTATCACCCTTAAAATACTAATAAGTTTCAAATGTGAAAAACCTGTCAAAAAAACAAGAATCACTGGAAAGAGACCACCCTGAGTTGACACTTGCATTGATTCATTCATGTTTTAAGAAGTCAAAATACACATGCTTTTAAAAGAGGGAATTCTATTCAATAGAAAGGGCTTGTCAAGAATGATAGATTAGAAGTGACCACCCTTAGCAGAACAATTCCTTCCTTGAATTACAACAGACTAAATAGGGGGGAGGAGAGAACTGTTCTAAGAACTCAAGGTGTAAAAGGGGTGTAATCAAGTTTCAGAAAATTACCAGAGTGGTGTGCAACTTCAATAGGAGAAGGTTAGTTAAATCAGTTTATCTGCTTTCAACGTTTGCAAGCATTTTGTTTTCCTTCTTAAGCATAATGAGTGGTCAAAAGCGTAAACAATTTTCCATTAAGGAAAAACTGGAAATTATTTCAGAAGCTGATCATGGGATAAAAAAAGCTGACGTTGCGACAAAGTATGGACTATCCCTATCTACTTTTTTAAAAAATCAAACGAAGTTGGAACAGCAAGTGCAATTAACATTGATCAGATCACATAGAAAAAAGATACGACTTTCAAATTTTCAAGATGTAGATGCAGCTGTTTTTACATGCTTCCAGGATATTCGCTCCCGAAACATTCCAATTTCCGAGCCCCTCATTCGTGAAAAGGCTTTAGAATTTGCAAGAACTTTTGGAAACGAAAATTTTCAAGCAAGTGTTGGTTGGTTGAATTGATTCAGGGAACGTTATGGTATTGTTGCAAAGCAAATTTGTGGTGAAGCTAACTCTGTTGATTTAAAAGCTGTGAATGACTGGAAATCAGAAAAAATATCGGATGCAATTAGGTCTTATGATCCTTCTGATGTTTTCAACGCAGACGAAGCGGGAATTTTTTCCCAGTTGTTACCAAACAAAACCTTGGCGTTCAAAAAGGATAAATGCATTGGAGGCAAAAATTCAAAACTGCGTTTAACTGCTTTGTTTTGCTGCAATATGTCAGGCACTGAAAAGAGAAAAGTTACGGTTATCGGCAAATCTGCCAAACCTAGGTGCCTATAAAATGTAAATTCACTACCTTGTGATTATAGATCTAGCCGCAAAGCGCGGATGACGACTGGAATATTTAATGAGTGGTTGGTTAAGTTTGATGAAGATATGAAACGTAAGAAAAGAAAAATTTTGCTTCTTATTGATAATTGTTCACCCCACAATGAGCCACCAAAATTGGAATGTATTCACATCGAATACTTTCCTCCTAATTGTTCGTCAATTTTACAACCTCTTGACCAGTGTATAATTAAAGTGGTAAAGGGAAAGTATCGAACACAACTTCTGAGGCGTATGCTTGTGCAAATCGGAAACAAAGAAGCAATTACGAAACCAGATGTAAAGCAAGCAATGGATATGATTGCTGGAGCATGGAAAGACATTAGCCAAAAAGTCATCTGTAATGGATGGAAGAAAGCAAATTTAATTTCGGCAATTGACAATGAAACAGTCAATGAAATTAATGATGTTATCATCAATTTGCAGCCTTCATGGGAACATGTGACAAAAGAAACATCAGTGCCAAACGAAGTCAGTCTAGACGATTTTTTGACTGCAGATGATGATGCTAGAACATGCGAAGCTTTGACAGACAATGATATTGTACGTATGATTCAAGAAAACAAACAAAAATCACTTTCGGACAGCAGCGATGATGAATGTCCAGAAGAAAACAATGTATCTACAGCTTCACAAGCCTTGGCCAATTTGGAAGCTGTAAAGAGATATTTATCAGCACAAAAAAACTTTTCAGATACTTTGTTTGAACATGTGCATAATTTGGAAAATTTTTTAATTTCTACTGGTTCTAAATCATTTGTTCAGAAAAAAATTACTGATTATGTATCTGCCTAATTAGTAAGTGTTAATAAATTCATTGTTTACATTAGTTTTGTGCGCTCTTTTAATATTACATTGATATTTTCCCAAATCTAGATTAAAAATATAATATCAAAACTGTAAATTGATTTTTCATACGAATAGTAATCCCAATGTAACGAAATAATATTTGTTAATGTTGAAAATTCGTAATATCGGTATAACGAATTTTCATTATTGCGTAGAAATAGCTTCGGTCCTATGGAATTCGCTAAAACGGGATACGACTGTATTCTCACAGTTAAATTCGCGAATTTTATAAATTAATTTAAAAATTGAGCACAATTCTCGAACTTCGAAAATGTTGCGTGTCTTAATAACAATGTATTAAAAATAATGTATTAAAAATAATGCCAAAATGACTTTTTTAAAAAAAATGATACATTACTGTAATAACTGCCAAAAAAGCAATAGAAAATTATGGAATCGTAGCTAATTGAACATGTAAAAAAGTGATTGCTTTACTAAAATAAAAATATTCGCATTGAATTAAGGTTGTGAAATGGCAAACAGTTAATGAAAAATGATACAAAAACGAGGTGGATTTACAAAGAATCGATGCAAATTGAGCGTATGAGCGCGTGTGTCAAAAAGTGACTCCTTAGATTTGAAATGCATGCTTGTCGTAATAACATGGTATAAAAAATATAAAGTGGAAATAGCCAGAAAAATGCATGTATTTATGACAGTCATCGAAATCAATCACACCCAAAAGTGATAACTCAAATTCGAAATTGATATAGTGTAATAACAACCAAAAAAACTATGATCTAACGTTGTTAAATAACACTGTAATTGTTACAAATCAAATGTGTTAAAAAGAGATAATTTAAGTTCAAATTTACATCATAATAATATTGTATTAAGAGTATTAAAATTTGAAAAGAAGCCATGTAAAAGGCATAAAAAAGTGATAAATAACTGACGAAAAAATTGTCACCCAACAACATGAAATTAAGATTAAATGAACTCAAGTCGAATGCGTCCGAAAGTTATCACTCAAATTCTAAATTCAAGTGTCATAATAATATTGTCTTTAAAATTTGAAAAATCACACGAAAGGTACCAAAAAAATTAAGCCCCAAAAATTACTGCCAAAACATTTAACACCTGACAACATGAAATTATGATGGAATTGTTATGAATCGATAAGTCAAATCTTAAATTCGGAAATTATTTCAACGTTATATTAGAAATGTGGAAATTCAAAAAACCATGTGAAGAGCACTAAAAATAATGAATAAGTACTGAAAAAAATATCTAACGATATGCAATTACAGAATCAGCACGAATCGAACTCTGTAAATTATATCATACCTGCCAACTTTCACTCTTTCCAAGAATGGATTTTCAGAGTGGTTGTAAAACGATAAACAAAAAACAATCTGACTCAAAAATATATTTATATTTTGATCCCGTTGAAATTCGCTTGCGCCAAGATTGTTATGCTTTCATATATTTATTGTAATTATTTATATGCAGTGGTGGTCAAACTCATTTATAATTATCATTACAATTCAAAAAATTAATTGGAATAATCTGAGTATTGCTACCACTTTTTTAATATGAAAATAAAATCTTCTGTAAAATCCGGAAGAGTTGACAGGTATGTTATATTGTATTAAAAATATCAGAATGCGAAAAGACATGAAATAAAATAAAGGTGACTAAACAGTAGAAATTTTACTTACAAAAATATAAAAATCCGGCAAAAGGCAGATAAATATATCCATGGATTTAAATAACTTCTTATTTTTTTATTAGCCTTTAGGAGGATTATAAAATATAAATTAATCTAATAAAAATATTTTCAAAAAAATAAAACATTACACTTTTAACAAATCACAGTTTAGTTACTGCATACCCTCCAACTTATGAGGATTTTGAAATTTTTTTTCTTCTAGTGGTAGCGAACCAAAGTAGAAATTTTTAAAGCAAATGGATCTCTCATAAAACTTTTATCAGAACTTAAGAATCTAGCCATATGGCCTGCACTTTTATAAGTAATAGTGGACAAGTTACACTAAAATTAATTTTTTTTAAATATTAAGACATTAATTTTGCTACCGTCAGAAAAGATTTCTGAAACTACGGAAATTTCGTAGCAGTTGGAGGGTATGTTACAGTAAATGTATTTTGAACAACAACAAAAAAAGGAGTCAACACATTTATCAACTTTCTTTATGGGTTGCTAGAAGAGCTACATTTTCCAATGATACTGATTTATCAGTATAGGTGATCAGTTCTACTTCATAACCTTCTTTCTGCAAGTATAGAACTCTGCCTGCATCAATAAGTCTTTTACACTTCATTCCAATAACTTCTCTTTCTTCGTGACTTAAATTTAATTTTTTATACCTAAATGAATAATTATGATATGTAATGAATGTCAACACATATTTAAAAAACCTATGCAACTAAAAAAATTATATATAACATAGATATTAATAACCAGTTTTAGACATATAATTTTTCTTTGTGCAATACTTGTTCTGTGTAAATCAATGTGTTTGTAGATGGTAAAAGTAATTAAATTTACATTAATGTGTTGCAATGTTTAAAAAAATATTGTATGATTTTAAGACCTATAAAATTCAGCTTTCTTGCTTAAATAGCAATAAATAAATAAAAAAGACTTATCCCACAGAAAATATAGCTTTTAAAGGAAAGAATAAAATAAGAAAAAATTAAGTAATTAATTCTTTTTATTGCATTCACATGAACAATAATGTGAAATAAATATTATATTAAAAGAATTTATACCACAAGAATTTAGATATATTTTTTTCAGAAGGGTCTTCCTTTATTTTGAGATAAAAAGGCTGATAAAAGAAAAAAAGCTAGAAACAACATGATTGTAGGATTTTGTAAGTAGTAGGATTCATAGGATATTTTTGTGGGCCTGCATGGATTGAAACTTTTAGTAATAATAGAGTAAAATATTATTTTTAATTTTTAAAGTAGAATATTTTAATAATAATATAAGAATAAAATATTTTTCAAACTAAATAAAATATATTACAAGTTTCATATACTCAAAAAGAAGAAATTTTTAACCTGATTTTGTCCAGGTAAATTTACATAAAGTTCCAGAATTTTTTTTAAAAAAGTGAACAAATTTATGTTTAATAGAAATGTAAGCAAAAATTAAAAAATGAAATTGCATCTCTAAGAAAGCATTAATAAAGTATTTTTATTTAAAAAAAAAAACAGATGATTTAAATGATTTCAACTCTGATTAGAAATAATAAATTGTCAGAACTAAAAATGTGACTGAAAGGGAAAATAAGATTAAAGGAATTTACTAGACAAGTCCTTTAAAAAAACAAACAAAAAAACATAGCAGTACGAAGTTGTTTAAAAAAATAATAACAATCTATATATAATTGAAGTTAAATCGTATTTAATCAATGTAAGAAGCAGAATATAATGAGATCAATTGAATTTAAAAAAATCTTTATCTTAAAACTCATGAATAAGAACTAATATTGAGTAGGAAATTTATAGTAATAATTATAATAAAAAAAAAACCCTCAAGAATCACAAATGTATCCCTTGTAAAAGGAGAAAGCTGCAATTTGCTCCATAAAATAATCCTCTGCTTCTAGTAATAGATAATTGTATGTTTAAGTTTAAAATATCTTTTGCTTTTATTTATAAAAGCAGATGATTTTTAATGAGAGATGAGATTCCACATCTGGAAAAACAAGCAAATGAAAACAGAAGTGTGAAATCAATTTGATAGGGTGTCAAATTCCGGTTTTGGGCTAAAAAAAGTTTTTTCTAGACTTTTTTTTTTGATTTTCATTATGAATCCTGTATTACTAAATGTTCATTTCAATTGAAATTTGTGCAACACTTAAAAATAAATAACAAATATTTATAAAAATAACAAGTTTATATTATAAGTATAATAAAAGCAGAAGTGTACTAATTTTGTTGTAATATAATAATTTTATGCAACATTCAGTTTGTATATATTTGAAAATACATGTAATTTATACAATTTAAGATACACTTAAAATATTTTTAAATAATGTTTCTTGATAAAAATCTTTTGTAAAACACAATATATCATAGAGAAAAATTAAAAAAAAAAATCAATTTTAAAATAAAATTTGGTTGAAATTTTAAAATCAACAAAATGTTTCCTAGTAATAGAAACTTTTGTTTTAATTATTTAATAAGATACACATAACCAAAAATAATGTGGTACATATTCAGTCTGTGCATAAGATGAAATATTTAATCAATGCATTACATATTTAATCTTTAATAAATATTTGTTACCTGTTTAAAACATTGTCTTCTGGAATTTCTTCATTTTCTTTAGCTGTAGTTTCTGAGTGGTGCTCTAGAGCAAAGGAAGAAAAAAAGATAATAGTAAAAAACCTACTTTCTTATTTTCAATTATTAAAATAAACTCAAGGAAAATATTTAAAAAGCTATTTAATTGTTAGTTGGTTGAAAAACATATTTCATTACTGACACTTTCTTAGTGGACAGAAATTTAAAACTTGTCCTTTGACATTTTTGGTCTGATTTTAGCATATAACTTATAAATCCTTAATAATTTGCTTCTTCTTCACTTCAATAAATGAAAATAATGTTGCAATTTCTCAAAAAACTTTTCTATTGTATTCTGTTAACAAAATCATTTTTCAAAAAAAATAAATTTTGTTTTTAACATTGAGTGCATAGTAAATTTGAAGGAAATAATGTTTTGTCTAGATATAAAAAGAATTTCACTAAACCAATGTTTGGTTAATGAGGTTTGACTGTATTAAATGATATAAAAAATTATACATTTGTGCATAATTATTGTTACGACAGATTTCTATGCAATGATTACAGCTTTTTCTAAAGTTACAAAAAAAAGACTCCTAAGCCACATATCAAAACAAACTTTGCTTNAAAACTCTCTGACACGCGGGTGTGTCGGCCGGTAAGTGAGCGCGTTTCTTGCTGTCACATATATGTGACAGTCGGCTCGAAAGGGTTAAGCCACGTATCAAAACAAACTTTGCTTAGTCTTTATTTATTTCTTACAATAATCTGGGTCTTATCAATAGTTTGACAACAATAAGTATGCATAACAGTAACAAAAATAAGCTATGAACTTACTGCTAGTATAGTCCCGTTTCACTACCTTAATGTTTTGATTTAAAAAACGGAAAGGAAAAAAAAACCCGGCAGAGTATACTAATAAAAAATCTTCTTTGCATTCATAAGAAAAAGTAATATTTTCTCAGTTCTTCTGGGTAAATATAAATGTAATAGAATTCGTTAAAGCAAATTTATGAAATTAAATTTTTCTATTGAAACTCTTCAAGAACTATTTTCTTTTCAAAATTTAATACTAATAAAATAAAATGACTAAAAATAATTAATGAAAGGTAATACATCAAATTAACATTACGAAAGGAAGATTATTTTTAATAAGATATTCTATTGTCTCACATTTTTCGCCATAGAACAAAAGAAAAATGAAGTTAAAAATGCTAGATTCGCTATTAGCGTCTGATTTACTTTGGCTTTTTGCAAAGTTGAACTGCTGATAACTTCAATTTAAACTGAAAGGCTTGAGAAAGAAAGAGAGGGGAAAAAAGGAGAGTAGGAAGATAAGGATTTAACTTGCCATTTTAGATAAGGACTTTCAATGGGTTTTGATTCTGAACAAAATGAAACAAATAAATTTAAATTGCTAGTAGTCCAAAAATAAAATTGCAAAATACCTTCAAAAATGGCCTGTCTAATTAATGTCTTGCACATAGGTCTCGAATTTTGTGTACATTTTCAAATAAAAAGCATGTTCTCAGTTTATACATGGATGTGCTTTGATACAGAAATATACAGTACTTATTTTCCTTTGAGCTATCTTTGTTTACATAAAATGAATTGCACAGTAAAACTTAAATATTTCTCTAACATAAAAATAAAAATATTTACCAGTTTTCCTTAATCCACAAGTGGCCCAACTAGCCATGCAGCAAAGTAACTGAAATTCTCTTTCTGAGAGCTTAAAATTTTCAAAATATTGTTTTCCAATATAACTGTCCCAAGAGCAACGGTGGTGGCAGCATAAGGCCATCAAAAGGCCAAAAGCTCTAAAACATAAAAGGTTACCAACTAAAACTAAGGTAAGTTGAATAATAATTTCACTACAACATTTAAATATCAAAATAGTTAAGAAAATAGGAATCTATTATTTAAAGTATTTTATGAAGAGGAAAATATAATGTTAAAGTAGATAAAATAGTCCTAGACTCCTAGTTGTTTGTGATGAATCTAGAAAAAAATACAATCATATTTTCAATTTTACATTCTCTGATATTAATTCTATAAGAACATTTCCTCGTGAAAAAGCTCAAGAATATTTGCTTAACAAGGTATGATTTTGCCAAAATATCTTTTAAAACCAAGTTTAAATTACAAAGCACAGTCAAAAACAGATGGGAAACAAAAATAAAATTTATGCCATTGCAGCTCTTAAGGCAAGTAATTGCCCCCTAAAGATTTAAATCATTCAATACCATATTTAAAATGTATCTATTAAATGTTAATGTATAGCTGCCAACTCGTTCTGATTTTTTGTAAGATTTTATTTTTATATTTGAAGAGGAAGCACAATTTATGTTCCTCGATTTAATAATTGGCTTTATAAATTTAGTTTAATTTTGACCAGCACTTCATAAAAATGAATTAAGTTTACATATTCTATGGTGTGCTTCATCTCTAACATAAAGTAAAAATCTTTGTGCCTGTAATCCTGATTTGGTTTTCACATTACTATTACTTGGAAAAATCATCCTCGAAAAGAATAAAAATTGGTAGATATGTTAATGCATGGAATTTGCTTAATATGCCTGCTTTGTAACTGGTAGGTACAAAGTTTTAGTTTTACTTCTATTTACTTTTTTAACTTCACTATCACTTGGAAAAATCATCCTCGAAAAGAATAAAAATTGGTAGATATGTTAATGCATGGAATTTGCTTAATATGCCTGCTTTGTAACTGGTAGGTACAAAGTTTTAGTTTTACTTCTATTTACGATTTTAATTCAAAAAAGTGTTAATTTAAAAAATATATATATATATAAATAAAAATTATTCATTAATTTTTGTTAATTTTTTTTAAATTGAAAACTATGTAATTTTACCTTTTAAATTAAAATATTTGAATAACTAAAAGATATTTAAAATTTTTAGAAGTTTTCAACTGAAAAATGTTTATTAATATATATGCTCTAATTACATTGAGGAACTAGTTTTTTTTCTTGTGTTGCATGAGAGTTTTTAACGCATCTTAAATACTTTTGAAATGCTATTTTCAAGTCTGCAATCAGTTTTTAGGTAATTTAATACATATAACTTCGATAAAATCCAAAATAATTCCTCAATGAAAGTCTGTGTTAGTGTTTTTAATGGCCGCAAATTAATTTAAAACTTACTTTAGTTTTACTTTTGCACCATCACTGTCTTGCTCTAATGTATTAGCCATACATTTGATAGCTAAATCTATAAAAAAATTAAAAAATATATATGAGATTATCAATTTTAATGTCATAAAAAATTGGATTAGTTATTTTGAAATAGTCAATTTCTAAAGTAAGAAATTAAATTTTTCATTAAGATAAAAAATTATCAGATTGGTTGTCTTTTGGTAATTTTTATAATTAACTTAATAAAATGTTTTTATAAAATGGTTGATGGAAGAAAAATTATATATATATAGTGTAAGCTCGTTAACATGATGCTTCCAGAACAACAAATAATACCTGAATTCAGTTTGCAATTTTATACAATGACAATCAGTTTGCAATGTTATTTTTACAACTCTTAGAACATCCACACTGGACTATTCATTCGAATAAAGCAAAAATTTAGTTTCATCACTTTAAAAGTATGAAAATTTTTTGTGCTTTCAAAATAAAATGCTTACATTGAAAATAAATCATGTAATATAGTAAAAGCTTTAATGAAATTATTTAAAACATTTCTTTTGATATTACTGCACATTAAATTTGAAACATCTTGAATTCTTTATGAATAAACCATTCCTTATTGAAAGAGAAATGATTCCCTAGAATCTTATCCAAAGTTTTAGAAAATTTGGAAGAAAAAAAATATTTGCTTTAAAGCAATTAAATTAAATTTTTAATGTATTTTTTTTTTTTGGTATGACCCACTTTTCATTAATTTACTTAAATCTAATAATTTTTCTATTTCTATGAAAAAAATTTATAGAAATTCTTGTTTGATAAATTTGTTGTAAAACTTTACTTTTTAAATTACAGATTATTACATTAATAATAAAAATTGAGTTAATATCACTTATTATTTTGCTTATTGTTGTCTTTGATGTTATGCTTTTTTAACTGAGAACTGGTACAAAATTGAGAGCAAAACCAGCAATATAAAATGAATAATTAATATGTTAATGTATTAATACTTTCTGAAACAGTTTAAATCAGATATTTTCACTGTTCCCTTACTAAAGTGATGTTCTTTTTTCATCTTTCATGAGTAACATGTTATTTTCAGAACAGTTCCAAAAATAGCACTTTAATAACAATTAATTTGATAATTATAATATTTATTTTGTACATTATTAGAGGGAAATAATTAAATAGAGTTAAGGTTTGTATACCTGTTGCAGCTCCACAAAGATGTTTTGACACTCCAACTACTCTGTTTAACTTATCTTTTAGAGTTGGAATTTTACCTATAAAAATAATAATATTTTATCTAAAATTGAGGTTTATTAATGAGAAGATTGAAAAGTAATATGTGTAAATAATGCTTTAGTGATTTTAAATCTTATTTATATTCTTTTTTAACAATGGCTAAAAGGTTAAATTTTAGAGGTAAATATTATTAGAATACAAAACATTTGAACAATTAATTAAATTTCAAGACAGCTAATGTGTTTTATATATTATGTATAATACTAATATCCAGTTCAACAGGCTTGTTAATACCCAAGGTTAACCAGGCATCATTAATACCAAAGCAAAAATTACAGAAAAATATGATTGTAAAATGTCAACATGTTTGCAGATTTTTCATTTTCCTACAGCTGGAAAATTTCTAAACAGTTTTAGATTAGGGGTACAATGATGTATGAAAGTGGTTCCTAACTCAGGCTTGGGTCTTCAAAGATAAGTTACAAAAGTTTTTTGAGATATAAAAATTAAAAATTTTGTTTTTGGACAATTTTTGTGTTAACATAAAAATTGTTTTTATAAATCATGTATATCACAACATTGAGCCTAACTAGTGTTTTTTTTTTCCTTCTTCATTAGCTTTAGTTTATAGCAGAATTTGATTTCTTAACCTTCATCATATCACATTTACATTATTATTTATTATTACATCATATCATTTACATTTCATGCCACATAGCTGATTCTAGCCTTTACTTAATACCTTATACAAGATAAAAGTTATTATTTAAAGGATTCTTCATTATAGATAAAACTCCAACTTTATTTGTTTATTGCCTTTAAAAAATTAAAAACATTAAATAAATGCACTTGATTTGTCCAATTTTTGTCTATTTTAAAAAATAAATATATAATTAATAAGAAGCATAATAGTATTTTAAAGAGTTTTGAATCATTAAAGCTTTAGAAGCATTTTTATGTATGCAAATGTATATGAAAAAGGAAGCCACTATAAGAAATAAAACATTACCAAGATGTAAATGTTGTATGTCAATCCTTATTCTTTGTAACAAGATTTCTGTTCCTTTAAACTTATTATCACTCTGTAAAAAGAAACAAATATTGAATAAATATATCATTTCATAAAAAAGAAAGAAAATAATTTTTTAAATGTAATTCTAGAAAAAAAATTGACATTAAATATCAAATCAAAACGAGTGTTGATTTAGAACAAATATCTTTGATTTGAACCCTGTTAAAATAAAAATGGTTTGAATTTAAAGTCATTAATAAATGAAAATTAAAAGCGAATTAACATTTACAGTAAATTAACATTTATAGAGAACAACTAATTAAATACATCATTAAAGATTTACAACTTTCTTTAAATAAAGCTCTGAAAGTGTTAATCCTTATTCCTTGTACAGATAAATTCTTTTACTCTAGTTTTCACAGTGCAAAATGAAATAAGTAATTTTTTTTATTTTTAAATTGTTAAATGTTTTGAGTATGAAGAGCTAAACAACACATGAGGGTTTAAATTAATTGTATAATAACTTGTTAATGTTCAAATACTTAAATTAATTTCAATTTCACTACAAGAAAGACACACCAATATTTATTAATTATTTAAACTCAAGGTAATATGATAAATTTCATTAGAAAATAGCATTTTAAAAAGAGGCAATTCTATTCCAGGCTATTGAGACTATATTTATTAGCAATATTTTAATCAGATGTCAAACAAGTACATATTAACACTAATTCATCAACAATAACTGTCTCTATCTAATCTATATAATATGTCTATATCCTTCTAATGTTTATCTAAGTCTAATAATAAAGCTAGAATGTTGATGACCTAAAAAATTTTTATAAAATGCCAGATAAATAAAATCTCATAAATGCAAAAAAATACTTAAAACATCAAAAATGTCCTTAAAATGAAAAATAAATTCAAAATGGTAAAAATAAAAGTTTTACAATAATTAGAAATCCCAAATTGTTTTCAAAAGTTAAATAAATAATAAGGCAGTAATTAAAATAAATGCAACTTATAAAATAAAATGCCCATAATTACCCAATAAAGATAATTAAGAATTCATTAATTTTTAGTAATACAGTCGTCAAGAACATCAAAATTGCATTGCATTATAAAATATTTTTGATATCTTAAAATTGAAAGACCTATTGTGCAAAATCAAATACTCATATCAAGAAAAACTTTATTCAACATCAATACTCATTATTAGAGGCTATAAAGAATAAATTAATTTATAAATAAAGAAATTTATAAAGAAAAAATTAATTCACTATCAAAATTCTCTTAAAATGAAAAATATTATTCATAATTCATAAAAAATTTTAAGAACGAAAAATAAAAAAAGGTCTAAGAAATATGAAACCCGTTAGAGTTTAAAACAATGTAAAAGCAAAAAATTAAATACAAATTACCATCAACATCCTAGCCCATATATTTAATGTATCAACCACAATTGCTTCAAAGTAAAGAATTTACACTGATTCTGACTCTGACTGTTAGAAATTTTTTTTAAAAATAAAGCTCTTGTAGCATTATATAGTAATAGTAAATATTAAAACATTCAACCTTATGCCTTTGAGCAGATCTGTCCACTAATATAAAAGCAGTATTTTCTGCATCAGAGGCGCATTTGATGATCCAATACATTAATTGACCTAGAAATTAAAATAATTAACATTTAATTAATTGTAGAGCAGAAAAAAAAATTTAAGAACTAGAAAAGATTTATATTAATGCAAAGCATAAAATAAAAGATATTCATTATTCTTTATGTAGTCTATAAAAATAAAAGCCGCTTAAAAAAAAGTATACAAAAAACAGTATAATCTCAAAAAAAAATCCGCTGACTTTGATACATAGAGAGAATGGTAAGTTACAAAAGTACAAACAAGATCTTTAATGGTGAACGAAAAAAGGCAAGGTCAATGAAGTGAAAGTCTGAAGAGGTTGAGAGAAACCTTAAGTACTTGAAAATTGGAAAATTTAAAGCAAGAGGCAGAATGCATACATAGACTTAGGTGTCCACCACCCACCAAGATTTAAAAGTGCACTCTATCTTAGAACCACAACAAAAAAATAAATAAATAAAAAATTCAAATTATAATATGCGGTAAAAGTTTTATGGTGAAGAGATATTTATATTTATTAATTTCATATTAATTCAATCTAATAAAAATCGTAATTGCGATGAAAAGAAAGAATTTAGAAAAGGTACTGAATTGTAGCATTGTATACACTTACTAGATTAAAATTAAATTTATCTTTAATACGTGAAAATAACTCACTATCGTGCAATAAATGTAGTCAAAGTTCAGTTGAGGGTTATAATTATTTATGAAGTGAATTATAAAATATCTGAGAAATAAAAGACTTTTGAGAGCATGCACTCTCGCGGCTGTTATGTACACCACCGATAGTTAAGGTGGTCACGATTCATGGTGAATAAGTAGTACCAGGGAGTGAGTTCTTGTAAAAACAAATAATAAAATTAGAATATTAATTTTTCAAAGCAAATTTAAAGACAAGAATTATATATTATAAAAAAATATATTATTTCAAATAAAAATACCTTTTCCAGCTCCAAATTCCACAAAACACGAACTATTTTTGAGGAAATTTTGTTTCTCCATGACCTCTAAAAGAGAACCTTGTTGCTTTAAATGCTTAAATGTATTTAGCCCATCATCAGTCACTTCCATTTCTCGCTCCAGAGTTGGGTGCATAGAGGTAGTTTCTGAAGTAACGATATCCAAACCTACATTAAGTTTTACAAAAAAATTGCAAAAATTAAAATATTGTACATACATTCACGTTCGAAGTTCGGGAAGCCAAAGTTTATTTTATATGCTTTACAATTTGAAAAAAATATAATTAATTTTCAAATGACTAAAAATTAGTAACTTTGCATACAAAATAATCATAGGAAAATCTTTGGGACTCAAAGATATTAGGGTCCACGAAACCATAAAGTAGGTAGATTCAGTGTTGTAGAATTAATTTTCTTTCTAAGAAGAAAACCATGTGACAGGAGGACAATTTGAGGGAGAAATTTTCTACCTCTCATTTATTGTTATTTTAATGGGGGGGGGGAATCCCCATACAAATTTTAACAACAAAAAAACTTAAAAGATAGTTGTTTCCTGTACTGTATTTGGTTGTAAAGAAATTTTTTTTTAAAACCCACTCATGGTTCAAAAAATGGGAGAATGTTTCTCCCCAATACATTATTTCCCTATCTAATAACATAGAAAAAACCGGTTTTGCTATGAGGAGAAAACAGCAGGTAAAAATATGATTTTTTACGTGCAGAACCGTCGGTGGGTTAAAGGAGAACCTTACACATTTCATAGGTAAGTTACTTTATTACTTTCTAGAATAACAATAGCTTTATTTACTTCATAAATAAAATTTTAGAACATACTTCCTGTCATGAAAACATTATATTAATCATAATTGTTCTAATTAATTCATCACAAAATCCAATTTTATACTTTTAAAATTATCTAATAAGAGAATATAAAAAAAGTAAGAAAACAACTTAAACATTAAGTTGTTTGTTTCGTCGTTTGTTTGTCATTAAGTCATTTGTTTATTCCCTGCTTCATTCTTTTACATTTTTTTTCCCTCTAATGTTTTTCAAAGAGTAAATTTTTTAATATATTTTATTTCAATAGTTTGCTTTTTAGTAGTTTAGTTCATAAAGTTTCTTTGTTCAGAGAGAAGAGGGGTTATATATAGTAATTACAAAATTATTCGATAAATAGGGCAAAAGAAACGAATTATTAGTTTTTTGATGAAATCATCCAATCTTTTTTATTTACATTAATACCTACATGAATAAAAATACTTGCACTAGTATTAAAGCTGATTAAACTTATTATTACAAGTGTAAAGGTTAAATATAATGGAAAAGTTTGAAAGAGGGAAAAAGATTATTTGAAGGTGATGCAATATTCTTTTCATTTTAAATTTTTATTTTTAACTCATTGACACATCAAAAATTACTTCTTGTAAATGTTTTCCAAAAATTTCAAATACCTGGAAAGATATATATGATATTACAAGATGCTGTAGTATTGCAAAATCTATGTTGGATTAAAATTTATACCATATTTCAATATTGGTAAATAAAAATAAATCATTAAACAGAATTGTTATACAAATAACTGTGGCTCTAGTAATTTGGGTCAAAAAGATACATACTGTTTTTAAAAAAATTCAAAAATTAAAATTTTCTTATCTTTGAAAAAATGCGAACGATCTTGTACAGTTTATACAAAACTACTTAAAAATTTGAATTCTAAAATAACTTTTAATCAAGCAAGGTTTTGTTAAAAAAATGATTCAATATTTTACTGTTCATAAATCTCAACAATCTTAAAGCACTCTCAACACTCTACATCACTCTTAACTTTCCTTCTCTCTATTAAAAGCACAAATCTACCAGAGAAGAGAACGAATGTCAACAGCCACACGTTGCCTTCTTGTTTCTGCCAAAACTGCCGAATGAGAGGAATCATGTGACGAGGGATTTTAATGTTTGGCACAAGAAGAGATGGAGAAATAAGACAGCTTCTTTTCTCTACATGCATTACTATTCTATGTATGAAATACTTGCATTTTATTTATGTGTAAAAAAGTGCAAGACATAGGATAAGTATCAATTGAGAAGCTGAAATTCTAATAAAAGTTTTCCCCCTAACATAAATTTTTTGATTTTTTAACTGAATTTTCAAATTGTCGTAATTTTTTAGAATCATTAACATATTTTTCTTGAAAATATACATTTTTGTATAATTTAATCGTTAATAAAGACAATTAAATGTAAACTCTTTTCATGAAAAATATACCACCCCTCAATATAGTATGTTCCCTTATAACAATATCTTTATCTTATCTCCAAAATATTGTGGTAATCAGGTTTTAATATATTTAGAAAAACATTTTTATAAAAACAAATCTCACTTTCATATAAAGTCTCTACTCTTTTGATTAATTCAAGTAGTTCTTCATCAGACACATCATTGAGACTCAGCTGTAAATAAATTTAAATAAAACAATTCAGTTGCAAACAACAAAGAAGTGGAGTGAAAAAATCCACTAGTTTTCATTTTAAGTTGAAAATAACACTTTTTTTAAAAAAGAATTTAAGATATTAAATGTTGGCATACTTAGTTTTTAACAATTATATATTTTTTTATTTGGATAAGTAACTTTATCGTTTTCATGAATCACTAAAATAATATACATTATTATTGCTATAAAACTTTTTACTATAGTTGTAATTAGTTTATAAAAATTTTTCAACTTTACCCCATTAATATATATACAGTCGAACTCCAGTTTTACCTTGTCCATTTTTTATGTAAAGTACAGTTGTTGAAAGTATGAGAGTGTAAAATTTGCAAGAGGAATTATTTTAGCAATTATCCAATCATTTAAAGAATATTACACTGGTTAGGAAATCACAAATAAATGTTCTGGATGCTCTGAATTGGATTTTTATAGCGTTGGACAATGTCGACTAAAATGCATTGTAAATGGGTCTACTAAAGCTTCTTGGGGTTAATTGCTTCTCATTATACAACTGGCCCTTCAGAATAAAATAGCATGTCTGAAAAACTGACGAAGTTGATGACATGTCTATTGACTGTAACACACATTTCATTATTTTTCAATACCAGATTTAAGGCCTACTTTCGATGGCAGTGATGAAAACAAGTAAAAAACATCGAAAGATATACTTACAACTGATCAAGAGGTTAAAAACATAAGTAGTAGGTAACATTTGCAAATGTAAACCATAAAGCAAATTCGTAAATAATAGTAAGTGTTAAGAAGGATTTTGTTGAAATAGAATCTAAAAAAAATTTACACATTTTTTTTAGTAGTTCATCTTGTAAGTGCAAATTTTTTGAAAAATATGTTATACTTTCTTTACTACAATTTTGCGTTAGCCTGCTTCATGCGTTTTTAAGCGCTAGTCTGATGGAGAAGGTAAAATCGGGGTTCCGCTGTACCTATATATAAGTTAAAAATATGGAGTAAACATGACTCATTTTGTGATTTCTATATACTTGAAGCAGTTAATAGCACTTATTTTTCTTCATTAACCCCTCTCTTTTTTGTCTTTATTGTGTTATTATATATATAGGATGAAAACAAAAGACTTTTAACAAAAAAAAAAAATAAATTATAAGTAATGTAATATATAATTGTGAGTAATATATAATTGTAAGTAATATAACAAGTAATATTAATTTACCTTTGATTTTTTAGAGCTTTCAAGATCTAAATTTATATTTTCCACATAATACTCCTAAAATAGAAAATCATAAAATTACAGGGATGGTTGTGACACAGTGAAAAACCCAGAAAATTTTATGTGTAAAAAATCAATATAATTTCATATAGTATACATGTTTCGTATTTAACAAAATTTTTTTAATAAGATTTATAATTAAACTACCTACCAATGAACATTATCACACCTTTATAGTAACTAAACTTTGTACTACTTACAAGAATTGCGATGCTGGATTTTAAAATCGCGTAAATATATTATTTTAAAATTGTGTCAATATGAATCGCATTGTACGATTTTTAAACCACGTGAATACGAATTGCATTGTGTAACTTTTAAATGAGGTAAATACGAAAATCGATGTTTGATATTCAATTCATGTGAATATGAATCGCGATATTATGGATTCCGGTGCAGTTTTAAATATTCAAAATGGCGAAAATCCGCCAAACCAAATTTTTATTTGTCTCTTTAGCGCAAATTAGCGAAAGTTTCAAAATTTGGATTTTAGATTGAGGAATTCCTTGAAAATTTCGTCAGATTATAAGTTTTAGATTAGCGAAAGTTCGAGAAACAGCGGTCTTAAGAAACACAGAATTCCCCGATGTCCCCAGAAAAATCGTATGCCCTGCGATTAATTTTCTCTCTTGGAAGAATAATATCAAAAACCTGGAATTCTGGGATACCCCCATAATACAACCACTGCTGAAATTAATAAGTTTCCAGTAAAAAAATAAATAAATAAACTTCGCAACAAGAAATTGTTCATGAACTCCTACATTAGTTTTGATAGTGCAACTAAAAAAAGACAAATCTTATATAATTGGTAAAAAGATACATCTAAAATTTTGAGTCATTTGAGCTAAGTTAAAAATAATTATGCTTTTACATTATAAATAGTAACAGAAAAAGTCATAAGCTGTAAAAACAACAAATAGGCTAAATAAATATTTTTTTTAAAATGAATAATAATACCAACAGGCTTCTCTTTTTCTCTTGCATTACACTTTTTTAAGTGTTTTTGAAGCTTGGATTCATAACAAAAACTGAAAATAAAATAAATTTAATTATTGACTTCTAAAAGAATAAAAATATAACTTAGGTTTAAACATATTACAAAAGCATTTTATAAACAATTTGTAAAAATTATCCATACCTATAGGGCAAAATTAAGGGTTTCCACTGGCCACAAGATGACTAAATATAAAAAAATTGTCTGCCAGTTCCCAACCAATCGACACTTTTTTAATTGAAAATGCACATCACATGTGGCATATCATTATTTTTTTTAAAAACAAATCATGAATTATTATGAATATTTTATAATATTTTGAAAATTTCTTTATTTTACGCTCATTTTTTAAAATTTTTCTTCATTTTAGAAATGAACCTTCAAATGTTTACCAAATTTTGAGATATGTTTCAAAAGAAATACCTTACATCCTTAATATTATCAATTACTTTAATAGTTTAAAGTTTCCATCCTTTGGTCACCCATTTTAAGAAGAAGCCACTATTAAAAATGCTATAATTGGCTATTGGCCAGGAGGGAAACTTCGTAATTTTTCTCTTTAACTATAACTAAAAATAATAATAACTTTATCACTGCTAAAAATGAGAAAATGAAAAAACAACATGTAACCAAGTTTAGATTGGTATTTCCATGACTATTATCATTGNGTTTAAAGTTTCCATCTTTTGGTCACCCATTTTAAGAAGAAGCGACTATTAAAAATGCTATAATTGACTATTGGCCAGGAGGGAAACTTCGTAATTTTTCTCTTTAACTATAACTAAAAATAATAATAACTTTATCACTGCTAAAAATGAGAAAATGAAAAAACAACATGTAACCAAGTTTAGATTGGTATTTCCATGACTATTATCATTGATGAAAACACATCTTTTTCCTGCATTAACTATTAAGCATCATCATTTTTTCATTTTACCTTAGTAAAGTGACAAGCATGAACTGTCCTTTTTTAACCTTTAATTTCTGCCAAACTAGCTCAATTTGTTTTAGCATTTCCTTGCCCGATCTAAATGGATATAGTCAATGGTTAAATTTTAATATAATATTTTATTTCATGATTATGACTGCCTATACTTGTTTGATATTTAAATTTTTTTGAAAACAGAAAAAAGAGGAAACATTACCGGCTTAGTGACAATATGCATACATTAGTCTTAGTATATAGATAACTGCTTACTCAGTTCTCTTTTGTCAACGCAAAAAAGAAATGTCATTGGTTTGGTGGAAATATACATACATATTAGCGATTTATATAATGCCATTATTTAATAAGCATGTATATGTAACAAAGCAAACATAAGCATATATATGTAACAAATATAATTTGGCGACAATATGAATATATTAGTCTTTTAATTTAGACAACTGCTTACTGCTCAGTTCACTGATGCCAATGTGGAAAGAAATTTCATTGGTTTGGTGACAATATATGTTACACATAAGCAATTTATATAGATGTCATTATTTAATAGCAATAAAATATTAATATGCTATTAAAAAAAAAAGAGAGAGAAAATATATTTATTTTTAAAATGTTTTCACAAAACAATTAATTTTAATAATATTTTCTATAAGCAAAAAAAGTTCTAAGCAATTTACAACAATCATAGGAGCAATTTATTTAAAAAATTACAATAAATTATTTTTATTGTTTGCAATTACTGTAATACACTTAAGTTAATACTAATAAAACATCAAACTTACTGAGAAGGATCAAACGGGCATGGAATTCTGATGCCTTTAACAGGGTCCTGTAAATAAAATAAAAAGATGGAAAGATTTATTAATGTTGCATTAAGAAAATACAGTCAAACTCAGATCATTTGAGAGAAATAAAATATTTTGGCTGAATTTTTATTATTTATTAATGAAGCTATTTCTAATGCCTTTTGTGACAAACATGACATATTTTTGGCATAGATATGCAAACTCTTCTATTTGATGTGATAGTAACAATGATTCTAGTTACACACTATAAGGCGTTAATTACGCAAAAATTGTTGAGGGGATACGAAAAATAAAAAACAGTCGCTTAAGATGCATAAATCTAAAATGAAAATAAATAGTCTCTGCAGAGTTATGTAGACAAAATTGCAATCAAGCTCTAAATATTTATTTTTAAAAAAATTGTTTTTCCTTTGCTATTAACAGCTGAAGGAGAAAATTAGAATTATTATGTGAGTTTCAAATTATAGCATTTGTTTACTGAATTCAGGTGTATGATCAGCCCTAATTGATAGTTCAAATATAACTCTTTCTTGATTTGAAATTCATTGTTTTGTCAATCAGTAGTATGAATGTGAATATTAATAGATGGATAAAGAGATTGAGAATTTATACTTTAAATATGGACCTGCTTTTAGTAAAAAGGATCCAGAATTATGAAAGTCCTGGTCTGGGTTCTAAGGACCCATAATTTCCAAAGTATATGAAGAAATCACAAACACAGAACTTGTTTACATTAATGAAAATTTGAATTAATATTTTTAATTCATAAAGCAAATGCATACCAAAAGTAAAGAACTTGCAACCACATTCATCATATTAGAAATAATTTTATTTATAATTTATGGTAAGTATAAAACTGGGCCAAACACTTTGGCAAATGCAAATAGCATAATCATGTACCAATGTGGAACTATCTTTTGTAGTTGGAAGTCAGAGGCTATTGCTATACTCAACCATGAGTTAAGAGTAATGGTTTTTATTTTATTAACAGTAATATGATATTTTGAAAGGTATGGTACAAAATAACAGTTAAGAGGTATGTTTTAACTGTGTTATTGAAACTAAACTAAGTTAGAGAAATTATTTTTCTCAAAATAAGTAAAATTAAACAAAACAAGTAAAATTAAACCACTTTTTAAATTAATGAATGAAAAATTACTAATAAAAATTAATTCTCAAAAGCTATTAAACAAAGCTGACAAGTTTGTGACACATAACAGATTTCATTAGCTTTTATTGTCAAATCAAAAACCTAGATTTTTTAGTGATATTATTTTCTTACTAAATATTCAATTAATTTAAATTTTAATATAAAAATATTCCTCATATTCTTATAAAAAATCGCGTCGTCATTTTTCCAATATGATTATCAGAATTTCCTATAAGTAAAATAAATATGAAATTTATAAAATGTTTTATACATTTATAAGCTTTATTATCTTAAACATATTGCATTATTAATTTTAAATATAAAAACATTTTGGGCTTTACACTCTAAAAATTGTGATTAGATGTCTTTTTTTATTGAAGGGAGGAATAGGGTTACAAATTATTCAGCTCAGGAAACATTTAGTATATTTTTAAAAAGTATACCTATTATTGAATATAAAAATATTTATATAAATATAAAACTAATTTTTGTTAAAATAATAAAATAAAAATTTATTGTTCGCAGCAGTACAAGAAAAGAAGTAGGTTTTTGACGGTTTTTATCTCTATCATGTCAAAAACCCAACCCTGTCATAAAAAGAAATAGAACAACTGAGATGAATGTGTGTCAGATATAAGATGCAAAGGTAACTGAACTTAAGCATGAAATAAATTGTAAAATAATATTATACACTTACTTGTTCAGTATCTAAATGTGAATGATGAGGACAAAACGACATCCCATCTTGAGTTTTCATTCGGCAAGGCTTCTTTTTCCGAGATAAGAAAAATGAACACACATTTTCTTCTTCAGCCGATCGTTTACTCATTATAAACAACTACAAAACTAATTTCCCTATTAATGTCTTCATTTGTTAATTATCACTTCAATAGAATGTATTAATAGCCGCTTTTAATTGCTTAGAATAATTTTAAAATGCATGATAAAAAACGGGATAAACAAATGAATTATAAAAACTAAGTAGTAATTAAGAATCGATTCAATTACTTTAACTTAATATTTATAGTAGTACACAAGAAAAAGATCAGGAATTTTTATCAAAATAATTATTGACAAATAAAGAAACAAGTAACTTTAGAACAATCATTATTTTTAAAAAAAATTAAGGATTCAATTTTAATAACAACTCACATTTAACACGAACGTGTGAAAAAATTGATTGATTGATGGAAAATAGTAAACAAATCAACCAAACTATTTTCCTTACCTTACGCAAGTAAGAGTTTGAACTTTTAGCTTACTTATTGGGTTTTTTTTTTCTACACATTATTATTCAGTGTCGCCATCTATCAATAAAATTATACATTTATGTCCCACTGGATAAAAAGTTCATTAAACATTAACATATATGAAAGACGGATAATTTATATGATAGCACATTATATTTTGGTAGTAGTAGCAGGAAAATTTAGTGACGAATATTTGTTGCATTCTTGCATTTTATTAAAAATCATACAGTTCATTCTTATTAGAATAAGGCAAGGTTATGCAACTGATCTTATAACGACGTTTAATAAATCAAAGTTTAACGACGTTTATTGTTGTTGTTGTTAATTTACGTCGCACTAGAGCTGCACAATGGGCTATTGGCGACGGTCTGGGAAACATCCCTGAGGATGATCCGAAGACATGCCATCGCAATTTTGATCCTCTGCAGAGGGGATGGCACCACCGCTTCGGTAGCCCGACGACCTGCGAGCGAAGTCGAGCACTTCACGGTAGCACAGTTTAACGAGGACCAATACCGCACACCCTCGGTCCCTACGCAGACTGATCCAAGTGGTCACCCACCCGCACACTGACCGTAGCCAGTGATGCTTGACTTCGGTGATCTGCTGGGAACCGTGTCTTAACGATCAGTCCACTGCGGGACTTAACGACGTTTAATTAATCGATGTTTAACTAATTAAAATTTTTTCAATTTACAATAAGGAAAGAATAAATCTTCGGATCAGTCCACCACATTCTTCTTTTTTCTTTTCTTTTCACTGCTACTAAATTTCAGCTAAATTATTTTAAAGAAAGAAAAAGAGAATTTAAAAATAATTAATAACAAAAGAAAATAAGAAAAAAAGTCTATACAAGAAACAGTCCTGGAACTTTAAACATCGTGCTGCTTTAGCAATTGCTGAAAGTTCATTTTTCCATAGTTGCATTTAAATTAATCTTTCGTAACTGCTTGGGAATCTTACACTTAACACAGTTGCTCTCGTAAAATTATATTGATTAAATTGATGAAAAAAAAACAAACTATTTGCACAATTACTTTAGTTTTTATCTTGTGGAAACAAAATGTGATTTACCAACACGATAGATAAGAAATTACAAGCTTTTAATTCGGATCTAAAATCAATGAATTATAAATGTTTGAAAATTAGGTGGTACCTCACACAAATATTGATTAATATGCCCATTAATATAGAGGGTTTGGGCTAAAATATGAAAACTCTTCTATACTAATTCTATGGAGAAAAAAAATTTATTTCAGCCGTTTCAGAAGATTTTTTGTGGCAAAACCGTTGTTATAATTTTGAAAATCAAAAATTTTAGAAGAGGGGTCTTTTTGACTCTTGCAAAATTTACATGGACGAAAATGAGCGCAAAAAGTTGAAAGTTTTTTCCCTTTTTCTATACCACTATAACTATAAAATCACTCTAATATAAATATTGCAATCCAATGAAATGAAATCAAAATTGCTGGTATTTAAACTACAGAAAAAAAATATTATATTAATCTCCGCATTTTTTGCCTCCGAACATGGTGCCATGGGTAGTTAATAATGAAATTCTTGAAAGCTTTAAGATGATTACTCTTCCAAATAGTTCCGCAGCGCATCATTGCAATGTGAAAATTCGAGCTTCAATGGAAATTTATTGCATATAGTGTTATTTATATATTTCGTTCCATTTGTTATTGCCCAGTTTTTCTTCCAAGACAAGCGGAATTTTTATTGTGGATGCAAAATTATGCGAATATTCTTTCTTTTTAAATAAACGCGTTTTCAAATGTTTTCTTTGCTTATATGTAAACATATAACCTTTATTTAAAAGGGAGGATTTTTCACCTGTTATCAGTATTGAAATTCTTGCATTTATGTATGAAATACAAAAAAAAAATTATTTTTATTATTTTTATATTGCAAAATTTGAGTAAAAAATTATTTTAGATACTAAATTCTTTTATTTTTTACTGAAGATTTTCCCCAAATTTTTTATTAATTTGTGTTTTTTTATGGCACACCTTTCCTATATTTATAATCATTTCGTTTATTATTATTATTATTATGGTTATTTTATAAATTTCTGCTAACGAAAGTTTAAACATCCCATATCTCCCGTGAGTTGTGTCAATTTTAAATTTGGGTCATTAATATTACAAAATATGATCGTTGATACGCTGAGGTTCATATAATATCGTTTTAAACTGAACAAATTTTTTTTAATTTTATGTGCGATATGCACATTTTTATTTAATTTAGTTTGAAAAGCTATGTCCAAAAGCATAAAAGTATAATACTTTATTTTATTTTACATCAAGCTTAAATGAAAGATGAAACGACTTTGTGAAATACGACAAGAAGTGGAATCTAAATTTTGAATCTGATGCTTAGTAATATTTTAAGAAAAATTAACATTTGTTTGCTAATCTTTTTATTGATAATTTTTAAAAGAAAAAAAATATATGAACATACTTATTCGCAATCTACATTAATAATGATCAAGACTCTTATAAGGGACAAATTTCCAATGACTAAGTGAGGGTTAGAATTACATTATCATGAGTACACCTTGGGCTTCCCATGAGTTTTCTTCTTTATAAAGCAGTAACAGTCATTTCTTTTACCCTTAAATTATTAAACTTATTTACAAAAAATAGAGTTGTGGAAATAGTTTTTTATTTACGCTCCACTAGAGTTGCACAATGGACTGTTGGCGACAGTTAGGGAAACAACAATAATCAAAAGACATGCTATCAAAATTTTTATTTTCTGCACAGGTGATGGCTCCCCCACTTTGATAGCTCAAAGACCTGTACGCGAAGTCAAGTACTTTATGGTAAAACAGCTTAAAGACACACCCTCGATCCCTTCGCAGAATGATCAAAGAAAGTGATCATTCCTCCCCGCTCACTGAACACAGCTAGTGATGCTTAATTTCGGTGATTTATTTAGAAAAATGTCTTTACGACCTGTCCTCTGTGGGACTACAAGCAATAGAATATTTTACTTAATGCAATTGTATTTTTTCATAGTTTCGAATTCTTGCCCTTTAATGGAATAAAAGTTTCTGCGGAAATTATATAATTAAATTTCATCAATACAGTAGAAGTTCATTTACTTTTGCCACTACTTATAAAAATCACGATAAATTTAGCATATTTCCATATAGATGTTTGATTAATTTATATTTTCTGGTGGTCATAATCTTTCCAAATTATATTTATCAAACAAAGAATTGAAAAAGATTGTTTTTAATACTGGAAAGAAATTTCTATAAAAGGAGAGCTAGTTGGCATTATTCCTCATTATTTTATCAGCATTTTATTAAAAAAAGCTGATTACGAGTTTATAAGAATTTTAAACTAAGAAGCTGCAGTTGTTCTGCCTTTCATCAATGTTAGCTAAACTAATATTCAGGAAACGGAGTCTTGAAGAATTTAAAAGCAGTTAGCACTATTGCAGGAATAAAAAGTATTTTAATTAATCTGTGACTAGATTTGTAACGAAGACGTTTGGAGAGATATTTTGAAACTGCAGCACACAACCACCCTAAATTCATCTAAACTGAACCACACATCTAGGCACACAAATTCCTCTAATAGGAAGGAATCTACATCTAGGCACACAAATTCCTCTAATAGGAAGCAATCTACATCTAGGCTCACAAATTCCTCAAATATGAAGCAATCTACATCTAGGCACACAAATTCCTCTAATAGGAAGCAGTCTACATCTAGGCACACAAATTCTTCTAATAGGAAGCAATCTACATCTAGGCACACAAATTCCTCTAATAGGAAGCAGTCTACATCTAGGCACACAAATTCCTCTAATAGGAAGCAATCTACACTTAGGCACACAAATTACTCTAATAGGAAGCAATCTACATATAGGCACACAAATTCCTCTAATAGGAAGCAATCTACATCTAGGCATACAAATTCCTCTAATAGGAAGGAATCTACATCTGGAATAGATAACTTTCTACTAGTTTTTATTAAAAATTCTCGAAAATCAGGACTTCACTTAATTTTGCAGAAAAAGTATTTATGAAAGGATTAACTCTTTCATTAATTGGCTAACTTGTATTACGTCTAGTATAAAGCACTGCAATGCGGAAATGAAATCTCAATATAGTGTGCTATTTCAATACCACTCAATAACATTAATTAACTTTTAATCACTTTTTTAATTAATCAAATGGCATAGAAATCTAGATTTAGACTTAAGAAAGTCAGAACATTTTGAATATCTAAATTTTTTTATTCCATGAAATTAATTTAAATTTCTTATCATATTGCGTACTTGTCTTTGCGCAGAAGGCTTGTAACTTTATCTGACTGAATTAGTTATTGTTTAATCAATCATTCAAAAGATATGAAGAAAAACGTGACATATTACAATTACGTTAGAGTAACAAAACATTGAACCGTTATAGTGATTATACTATAAAAGCTAGTTTTTCGAAATTTCGTCTACTTATCGTCTTATTTTGAAAGTAAGAAATCCAAATTTAATAAAAAAAATTAGGATTCTTCAGAAAAAGTGTACTTTACTCGAAAATAAGGTGCGTTTTCAGTTCATTTTTTTTAATGGCATGAATAACATGGTAAAAATAAGCGTATTCCGCTACTGTTATATTTTTAACCGTTATAAATACTTAAGAAGATTTCTTTGCGGAATGAAAATCAGACCACCTGTTCAAAAGTTAAAAGTATGATCCAGTTTTTTTTCTGACTGTACATAGATCTTAAAAATAATCAACTTAAACATTTTGGTAAGTATTATATTTTTGCAAGGAAATTTAGGTAATAAAAAGTTAACCAACCGATTCTGCCAATTTNAATCGTCTGCTGAATTTATGTTTAAAAATATCAAACTTTCGATTAAAATTGTCTGCCGTCG